GCGAGGGCGGATGGTGAGGGTGGGGGAAGGATAGTGAGAGCATGAAAGGAGGCAGGAGAGGGACTCCTCGGTATATTAGGCATGGGGGTGAAGGTGAGACGAAGGTGGGGAACAGATGGTGAGGGTGGGCGGGGGAATGGTGAGAGGATGAAAAGAGGCGGGGGAGGGGACTCCTTGGTAGAACAGGCATGGGGGTGAAGGTGAGACGAAGGTGGGGAAGAGATGGCGAGGGGGGGGGGGGGGGGGGGGGGGGTGAGTGAATGGAAGGAGGCGGGAGAGAGGATTCCTTGGTAGAACACGCATGGGTGTGAAGGTGAGGAGGTGAGGGAGAGATGGTAAGAGAGTGGACGGCCCGTCAAGTGCAGGCGAGAGGTGGAGAGCAGGCGAGAGGAGGAGAGCAGGCGAGAGGAGGAGAGCAGGCGTGGGAGCGAAGGTGAAGAAGGTCAAGAGATGATGAGAGTGGGGCGGGAGCGAGTTGGGAGTGTATAGGGAGGGGGAAATGCAGGAGAGCCAGGACTTCTTACCGACTTTAACGAGCTCCCCCTTCTTATTGTCTTCCTTCTTTGTGCCTGCTGGGAGCGGATCGTTCATAAACATCCCACTCGCTGCCCCCGCCGTAAAAGACGCCGTCGTGAACCCCCCATTATAGTCTCTTGCCGACGTCATCATCGCATCCACCAGCTCCTTCACAGTCGTGCCATCCGCAAATGATTGTGTACTCGCTTTAAGCCACGTCCCCTTCAAAGCATAGGTGTATGTGGGTGTGATCGTTTTGTTCTTTAACAGAGTTGGAGGTGGCGGGGGTGCTTTATCCTTCCACGGGGCTTTGGCCCCGGCAATCTCGAAGACGGTGGTTCCTGCATTCCCCGCCTTGCCGAGCGCGATGAAGGCGGAGGTCGGAGCGCCCAGTTTGGAGGTGGAGACGAGCGCTTGGTAGTGGACGTTGTAGTCTCCGCCCAACCTGACGGATCCAGTCGGGTTCTCATAAAGCGAGCGAAAGAAGGGAGTAATGATTGGTTGCATGCCTACTCAGAGAGATGAAAGCAACATTGGGTGAGATAACTGACGAGCTGGAAGTATGAGGGGCCGGGTTTCGTTAGTAGATACGGGAAACGAAAAGCGTCGACAGACGAGGCATCACACTGGTGCCCGCAACCGCCGGGATGATATCGAAAGTAGCAGTCGGGCTTACTCAAAGACGGCGAGGCATATTCGACCGCTGGCGTTTTTGTCGCCCGACGTCCCCATAGCGGAACCTTTCAGGTGCGCGGCGAGAATGGCTGTGCAAGGGAGAGGAGCGGCGGAACGACGTGAAAGAGAGAGAGAGATAGAATAGCGGAAAGGTGCAACGGACTTTAAAGGATCCTTCGGATTGAGATTCCAGAATATGGTCGCTTGGAAGACGTGCTCCTAAAGATTTGCAAAAGTCTTCTCCGTCTTACCAGTCAAATGACCGAGAGCCGCAACCTTCTCGGGATTGGGCAACGGGCACGGACCCGCGCCAATGGGACCCGCGTTTATCGCTGCCCACATGGAAGAAAGTCACGTTTGGAATTAAACATGTGAAATACATGAGAAATAACATCTAGGGATTACAATACGAAGCTTTTCGCTGTAATGCTTCGTGAAAGTTAACTGCTTTGAATCTGACAGCAAGAAACGGCGAATGTGACAGTTGTGGGCAGGCACAGATCCGCGTCACTCACTACTAGCACATGCGGTGAAGACTAGTAAGAGAAGTATCGAAACGTCATGGTAACGTTGGAGCCCCATCGCAAACTGAAGCACCTAGCGGATGAATCGATCCTAGAATGTATTACGGTGGTTGGCTCGTTGACGAGGTAAGATAGAGAGTCTGAAAGCTTGAATGCAGAAACGAGCAAGCAGCCTTGTGGCATTTATGCTTGGCAAGAACAGGAGGGGAACGTGTTCAGACATGAGGGCGTTACAAAGCCGTTCCGTAGGGTGCTCTTTTGATATAGAGTGGTGTAAAACTGATATGCCTCGGTTCCATGACCAGGGAGTAAAATGCCTTGCTTGTCACGCTGTGGGAAACATCGAGAATGCGCTGTCGTGTGGACAGCACATTCAAGCGAACGCACATGGCGGGGTACCTGGCGGGAATGCCGTGGTTGAGGAGGGTAGAACTGTAGCTGCAAAACCTTCTAGGCAAGCAACAAATTCAGGAAAATTCCATAGCTGAGAAGCTTGCGCATTGCCGCAGAACACGGAACCCAGTGCCCGAATTACAACCTGGGCCCAGTTTGCGAAAACCGTACCTGAGTTGTTACCTGATTTGCTCGGGTGAGTTTCGAGAAAAACAGGCAAGTCCTGGGACCACACGCCAAATTCGTTGGCGATTTATTTTGAAATATCGTGATTCGTTACACTCGTCAGTTTGAGCTGCGATCGCAAGAGCTAACTGGCAATTTTGGCGCGACTAGATTTCTGACTGCAATGCAATTTCTGAATGTTGTCGCGCTACCAGAAATTGAGCCCAGCAGCTCGGCGAAATTTTCAGTTCGGACACCTTGTTCGCCGAAGCTCGCCACATCTCGATTCGGAAAACCGCGGTTCGGCAAAGATAATTCGGGGTCCCCAAACACCAGATGATCCGAAGCCGAGACTACGCCCTACACGTCATGGCGCGGTGAGCTGCCTCCTGGTCAATACGCACCTAAAGAAATGATACGGGACGGGAGTCCTTGAACGGGATCCGGAAGTCTCTTAACCGGCCCCGCCACAAGGCCCGGCTGACCAGTCTGCAGCTGCAGAATGCGGGCGCATGGGTCTCGGCTCTACCGTCACGGCCGGATCTCCAGCTCGAAAGCGAGGACTGGGCGATTGCGGCGAATCTTCGGTTGGGTCGAGACATCCCACACCTCATCCAGGCGGAGACTTGCTCGTGCGGGAAGGACTTATCCACCTGTAACGCGGCGGGGCATGCCCTCAGGTGCTCCACCAAGTACGCGCCGTCTATCCCCCACAATGCCATCCGGGACCATGTGGCGATGGTCTGCAGGGAGGCGGGCATGCAGACGACGATGGAGGATAAGGCCCTTTTCGGTGGATTCCGGACGTCGTGAGTCTCCACACGGACAGCGGGAAGACCTGGGTGATGGATGTGGTCATCGCGGACCCGCACGATAACAATGCCAACTGCCCGGAGACCAAGCCAGGAGCGGCCCTCAATGAAGCCGTTCGCCGGAAGAAGGTGACCTACAAGGAGGCGGTGACGAAAGGAGGGAAGCGGATGGAGAAGACCACCAAAGTGATTCCGTTGGCTACGGAGATCTATGGGGGTTGGTCCAACAGCTTCTCCGACTGCGTTAAGGACATTGCAGAAACCACTTCGAAGCGGCTAGGCAGACAGTCGGGGCAAACCACCGACCTCAAATCTCTCATCTGCCGGAGCATCGCTCAACGCATCGGAGTGACGCAGCAACGTTCTCAAGCGGTCATGATTCGGCACAGGTTGCGCGCAGCAGTAGAGGCTAAGGGAGAAACGATGTATCAGGACGCAGGGAGGACTTTTGCAAAACTGTAGATATGCGTAAATCTATTGACGGCTTATCGATTATTATATCCGAACATCGTGGTAGGAAGGGCAGATTTCTGAATAAGGGTATGACCTTGCATGCGCTGTAGTCGGGAATAGGATAGAAGGGTTAGGCTTTGCTTTGTTGTAATGCTCTTTGCTTTATAAACCAATGTATGCATGTGCTTTTTCAATGAGAATAAAGAAATGATACAGCATGGTTTGAGCCGTCGATTTGGAAGGGTCTGCACTGAATATATAACCAGTGAACGAGCCTTATCGGCACCTCCTCTGGATACGAGCACGTAGGACCATGAATCGCGGATGTGAGACCGTAATCCAACTCTTACAGGGCCCGCGTCAACTTGTTACAAGTAGCAAAATCTCTTACCGCCGTCAATTCAGAACGTAAAGTTCGCGCTCATAAACTCCCGCCTCGTCCGCAGCTTTTTTCCACGCTCGCGGTATTGACGGCAGAACCAGCGTGTCCTCGCCAGCTTATGACCTAGCCGTCGCAATGTGGGCCCGTAGCATCTCCGCCCCGTAGGTTCTCCTCATCCGTCTCGTCTCCCCCGTCGCATTTCGTCCCCGTCGCTTTTCGTCCCCGTCCCATCTCGTCCCGGTCGCATTTCGTCCCCGTCGCAGCTCGTCCCCGTCGCATCTCGTCCCCGTCGCATTTTGTCTTCGTCGCACTTCGTCCCCCGTTGCAGCCCGTCGCATCGTCCCCGTCGCAGCTCGTCCCCGTCGCATTTCGGCCCCGTCGCCGCCCGTCTCCGCCGCTTCTCCTCGCCGTCGCACCACTAGAGCTCGCCTTTGCCTCCTCGTCTCGTTTCCCCACACCCGTCGCCTCTATCCCGTCCCCTCTCCTCCCTGTCGAACTTCGTGCCTCCTCTTGCGTTCCTTCTCCAGCCCTTCCCCCCTTTCTCGCTTCCGCCCTTCATCCACACCTCTCTTCTTCCACTCTTTCCCACCTCCCTACGTCCCTACCACCAGGGGAAGTCTCCCTTCCGCCGGTACACCATGACTCACATGATCAAGTCCGGCTCGCTGGCTTCTCGACCCTGCTGCCACCCGGCCTCCGTGTCCCGCGATCCTCCCTTCTCCCATTCTCGCATTCTCCCTTCCAGCCCTACCCACACCCCTTCAGCACCTTCCTAGTGCCGCCCTTCCGCCCCTCCTACCTACCTTTGTTGACTCTCATTTCTCCATCCTATGCCGTTTCCCCCACCCCTCTCTTTTCCCCTTGGTGTTCCTTCCCCATCGTGTTTGACTTCTCCCCTGCCCCTGTGCTCTGCTCCTCACCCGCGCCACGCACCTGCCCCCTGGTTCCCCTTTCCCGGCGCAAGTGCATTCCCCTGTGACTGCCGTCCGACCCTCTCCAATGCGCACACCTCTCCGCCAACCACATCGCATGACGTCCCGTCGCATCCCGCACGCATGCGTCACTGCGCCCGCGCTGCAGGTCGGAGAAGGAGCGGCGGTCCAGCTATGCACCCCAGGCATGCGTGCGGTACGACGGCGTCTACCACATCGAGCGCTGCTGGCGCAAGAAGAGTAAAGTGGTGAGGAAAGGGGGAAGGGAGGGAGAGGGGAGGGGGAAGGGAGGGAGAGGGGAGGGGGAAGGGAGGAGAGTCGTGGTGAGAAATGGCGAGAGCACCGTGTTGAAATGGTGAGAGCACCGTGTTGAAATGGTGAGAGCACCGTGTTGAGGGCGAAAGCAGGGTCGCCATGAGTAGGAGCGGAAGGGAAGTCACTTGGGTTCGTGGGTGTTATCGCAAGCGCAAGTGCGAGAGGAATGAGCAGCGCCTCTGTCCTCCCCTGCTGCTGCAACACCCCCCCACCCGCAGGGCTTCCTCGTGTGTCGCTACCTCTTCGTGCGCTGTGACAACTCGCCCGCCCCCTGGACCAGGTCCGTACCCCTCTACCGCCCATACCAGGTCCGTACCCCTCTCCTCAGCCCATACCAGGTAGGTACCCCCCAGACCAGGCACTGACAGGCCCATCACACTCAGTGCGCGCCAAGCAGCTCTGGCCATCCATTCTCTCCCGTGTGGCCCGCTTGGCCCTCGTGTCCCTCACAGCACTCTCCTGCTCAATTCCCCATCACTTCGTTAACCTCTCCCATTCGAAACGTCACGCAGCATCTTTCCTCCCTTTCTCTAAACACAACCGCGCTTCTCTCCCCTCGCACTCCCCCCCACTCCTCTTTCCCCAGTGACGACGTGGGGGACAGCCCGGGGAGGAAGCTGCCGCAGGTGGCGGAGTTGAAGCAGGCAGTGGACGTCACAGAGCGCACCGGCCCGCCCGCCTGGGACTGGATTGTGAGTGCGTTGATGTGTGTGGGTGGGTGTCTATGGGTGCGGGATGAGTGGCACAATTTGGAGTGACTTGTGAGCGGCGCGTGCGGGGCTTGCTTGTGAGTGGCACGGGGTGACAGCTGCTAATGTTTCTTTGTTGGGATGAACACGCATGCTTGATGCGTGCTTGATGCGTGTGACCGCGATGCACTCAATCACGAGCCAAACCGAAGAATCACCCGCACCCGGCAAGCCCCCCCTCACAAGCCAAGTCAACCAGTCTCGAGCTGGTTTGGCGGTAAACGGTGCACACTCAAGGCTGTTCCTCCCGTGCTCTCACTCCCGCGTCCACAGGAGGAGAAGCAGCAGTGGGGGTGGGTGCGCGCGCCCCCAGCATGCACCAAGCCCATCGGTGGCACCAGCACAGCATGGCGCTCCGCCAAGCGCCTCGCGGTGGGCAGCACAGCCGAGGCCGTGAAAGTGCATTCCCGCGCAAGTGCATTCCCCTGTGACTGCCGTCCGACCCTCTCCAACGCGCACACCTCTCCGCCAACCACATCGCATGACGTCCCGTCGCATCCCGCACGCATGCGTCACTGCGCCCGCGCTGCAGGTCGGAGAAGGAGCGGCGGTCCAGCTATGCACCCCATGTCAGAATTATGTTTATTATAACTGCATGGAGTTCTAGCTGTAGTGTAGTTATTAAATTTGTAGGTGGTGCACCTCTTCATTTGTTTCCTTTGCTATATGTACTTCGAAATCCTTAGGGAAATCACACATTCTCCCAACTTCTCTTCCAACTCACTCGAACCTCACCCTAGGCAAAACCCGCTCGACATCCTAGTTGGGCCTAGGCTACTAAGCCTAGGCCCTAGTTAATCTTAACTCATTCTAGTTCAACTCTCAACATGCTATCAGAGCGCGTTACGACTTGGCCTGTGGGCCCGCCTCTTGCTTCCGCTGCTACGCTTTTTCTGTCGCGCGCCTAGGGCGCGTGGCGAATTTTTATTGTCCCGCCCCCCGGGCGTGTGACTCATCTGCCCGTCGTGCGCCCCGTGGCACGCGACGGTGCCCTAAATCTGCCCGTCGTGCGCCCCGTGGCACGCGACGGTGCCCTGCTCGTCGTGCGCCCCGTGACACACGATCGGGCCCTACACTTACTCTTACCCGTCGTGCGCCCCGTGGCACGCGACGGGCCTTTCCGCACCCGCTCTCCATTCAGCCGCCCCTGAGCTACCCGGTCCAACACATTGAAGCCGCTCTGCGACTTTCTTCCCGCCCACCCCCTCCTTTTTTTTCTCCCTGCAGCCGTGGGGGGGAGGGTATGGGGGTGGCGGGTGTTGGGGTGTTGGGTCGTTCACTTCCCTTCCCCTCCTCCTTTCGTTCCCACTGCTGCAGCTGCCGCTGGGGGGGAGGGTGTGAGGGTGTGGGGGAGCAGGGGGAGTGGCACCGGGGTGGCGGGTGTGAGGCAACCAGCAGCCGTCCCTCCACCTCTCCTCTCTTCCCCCCCTCTCTGCTGCTCCTGCAGCAGTGTGGGGGAGGGGAAGGAGGAGGGTGAGGAGATGGAGGGGGTAACCATTCAAGGTTAGCCCGCCTGCAGTACCTGCTGTTGCTTGTTTTATTGTTCGTTGGTGTACCTCTGCAGGTTGTGCTCTGCACTTAGCTATTCCTGCATGCAGTTACGGGGGGATGTCAGAATTATGTTTATTATAACTGCATGTAGTTCTAGCTGTAGTGTAGTTATTAAATTTGTAGGTGGTGCACCTCTTCATTTGTTTCCTTTGCTATATGTACTTCGAAATCTATAGTGAAATCACACATTCTCCCAACTTCTCTTCCAACTCACTCGAACCTCACCCTAGGCAAAACCCGCTCGACATCCTAGTTGGGCCTAGGCTACTAAGCCTAGGCCCTAGTTAATCTTAACTCATTCTAGTTCAACTCTCAACACCCCAGGCAGGCGTGCGGTACGACGGCGTCTACCGCATCGAGCGCTGCTGGCGCAAGAAGAGCGCCGTGGTGAGAAGGGGGAAGGGGGGTGGGTAGTACACGGTAAGTGGGGCATGGTGAGTGGGACATGGTGAGTGGGGCATGGTGAGTGGGACATGGTGAGTGGGATGTGGTGCGTTGGAATGACGCCACAGGCGGGCGTGCAATGATGGCGTCTACCTCATCGAGTGCTGCTGGCGCAAGAAGAGCGCCGTGGTGCGTTGGAGAGGGGGAGTGTGGAGGTGCGTTGTGAGTTCGGGGAAAGGGGACGTGGTGAGGAAAGGGGGGGAAGGGAGCGTGATGACTGTTGTAGGTGGGTGGACGTGTAGAGTGGGAGGGAACCTTGGAATTATGGTGTTGCTGCCAACGCAAAAGCACAATCGGAATGAGCATCGCGCATGTCCTTTTGTGCTGCACGCCTCTCTGTTATCTCATACCCACAGGGCTTCCTCGTGTGTCGCTACCTCTTGGTGCGCTGTGACAACTCGCCCGCCCCCTGGACCACGTAGGAGCACCTCTCCACCGCCCATACCACGTTCTGCTCCCTGCACACTCAGGGCGCGCCAAGCTGCTTAGTCCATCCATTCTCTCTCGCTTGGCCCGCCCTGCTTGTCTCCATTATCCCCTCCTTGCCTCCCCTTGCTGATCCCATGCTCTCCCCCTTCTTCCTCCTCTTCTTCCCCCTCTCCCCCCTCTTCCTCCTCTTCCACCCCTGCTCACCCCTCTTTCCCCTGCCCCCTGTCCCCTGCCCCTGTCCCCTGCCCCTGTCCCTGCCCCCTGCCCCCCGTGTGTGCGACGCAGTGACGACGTGGGGGACAGCCCGGGGAGGAAGCTGCCGCAGGTGGCGGAGTTGAAGCAGGCGGTGGACGTCACCGAGCGCACCGGCCCGCCCGCCTGGGACTGGATTGTGCATGGGTGGGATTGCATGTGTGTGCATGCGTGCACACGTGTAACTGGATAACACACACTCAAGCCTGTCCTTCCTGTGCTCTCTTCTCACGCCCACAGGAGGAGAAGCAGCAGTGGGGGTGGGTGCGGCCGCCCCCAGCATGCACCAAGCCCATCGGTGGCACCAGCACGGCATGGCGCTCCGCCAAGCGCCTCGCGGTGGGCAGCACGGGCGAGGCCGTGAAGAAGCGCAGAGCGCTGGCACAGAAAGCAGCTCGCTAAAGGTGAGCGGGGTGGGAGATGCGATTGGTGTGTCTCTGAGACGCCTAAAAGAGAGGCTAGCGGTGGCAGCACGGGCGAGGATGTGAAGAAGCACAGAGCGCTAGCACAGAAGCGGCTTGCCAAAGGTGTGGCAGGCTGGGTGATGGGAGGGTCTGGGCTGTGGGTCGTGACTGGTATGATCCTGCCTGCTGGGGGATTGGGGCTGGTTGTGGCATGACGAGGAATGAGAGTGCATGAAGCTGTGACCAGCAGCTAAGAGAACTCGTTTCTTCTCGCCCCTCCCTTCCACCCCTCCTCCTCTCCTCCCCTCAGACTTCGCGTGTCTGCTGTGTGGGGGAGTGCTGCGCGCCCCGGTGTCCACGCCCTGCCAGCACAGCTTCTGCCTCGCGTGCCTGCAGCAGCGCTTCCACGGGCAGGCCAACACACGCGACCGCTCCAAGACCGCGGGGCGGTCGCTGCGCGCACAGAAGATCGTCAAATAGTGCCCCGCCGCACGCTGCACCGCTGACATTGCAGACGTGCTGTCCCGGCTGCAGGTGAGGGAAGGGGGTTTGGGGGGCAGGTGCAGGTGAGGGAAGGGGGTTTGGGGGGCAGGTGCAGGTGAGGGGATGATGGGTTCAGGTGAGGTTGTGAGGCTTTGCACGGGGAACGGTGATTTAACAATTCCCATTCTCCCTCATGTCCCACCGCTTTTGCAGCATCGCTCCTCCTCTCACATCAGCCCGGCATTGTCCTTTGCACGACTTCTCTCTTTGCCACGCTGTCGCATTCTCATTCCCTCTCCCGCACGCTCTCTCCTCTTGCAATCGCCGCATTCTTCTCACATCCCTCTTTGCCACGCTGCCGCATTCTCTGCCCCTTGCACCCCCACCTCACCCCCTCCTTCCATGACGGCAGGTGAATCACGACATGGCGGATTTGATCGCCATGCCGCTTGCAGAGACGAATGCACCAGATGCAGAGGAGGGGGAGGACGCAGGGGAGGGCGGTGAGGAGGATGGGGAGGAGGGCGCAGAGGGAGAGGAGGATGAAGAGGATGAGGGGAAGGGCAGTAGAGGTAAGGACGAAGGGAAGGAACGCGATGGTAGCATGGAAGGTGCAGGAGAGGAGGGGGTGAAGGAGGAAGGGGGGAGCACGGGGGTGCAAGTGTTAAATGCGATTGGTGCTGCGGGGAGCGGAGGTGGTTCAGGTGAGGGGAAGGCCAAGGGCGCGCAAGGAGAGGTCGATGGGGGAAGGGAAGGCAGTGTTGATGGCGGAAAGGCTGGGGGAGGAGGTGCGTTGAGTGCCACTTCAGAGGCACTGGTGGCGTGCAGCTCGCTGGCAGCCGCTTCAGAGGGGTTGCGGGAAGTGATGAGGGCCTGCCCGTGCGAGACATGCTGGTGCTGGGAGGGGGAACGGGGGGGTGTGGGGGGAGAATGGTGCTTTGTGCGAAGGGGGAGAGGGGGGAAGAATGGTGCTTTGTGCGAAGGGGGAGAGGGGGGGAGAATGGTGCTTTGTGCGAAGGGGGAGAGGGGGGGAGAATGGTGCTTTGTGCGAAGGGGGAGAGGGGGGAAGAATGGTGCTTTGTGCGAAGGGGGAGAGGGGGGAAGAATGGTGCTTTCTGCGAAGGGGGAGAGGGGGGAAGAATGAAGCTTTCTGCGAAGGGGGAGAGGGGGGAAGAATGGTGCTTTGTGCGAAGGGGGAGAGGGGGGAAGAATGGTGCTTTGTGCAAAGTGGGAGAGGGGGGAAGAATGGTGCTTTGTGCGAAGGGGGAGAGGGGGGAATAATGGTGCTTTGTGTGAAGGGGGAGAGGGGGGAAGAATGGTACTTTGTGCGAAGGGGGAGGGGTGGAAGAATGGTGCTTCGTGCAAAGGGGGAGAGGGGGGAAGAATGGTGCTTTGTGCGAAGGGGGAGAGGGGGGAAGGTGGGTGCAGAATGGTGGGAGGACATGTGGCTTTGTGCCGTGGTGGATGGGTTGCTGGTGGATGTGTTGCTGGTGGATGGGTCCAGCCTTGCACTCGAAGTGGCTTCAGATCATATATAAAGGTAAACAAGCAAGTGCAGGTATAGAAAGATCATAGTACAAGCAAGGTCAAGAAGTGAGCAAGTGAGGCCAAGTAGGCACAAGACCTAGCATCGTACAAAAGCGCTGATGATCACAAGGCGGAAATGCCTTGGTAAAGATATCAGCAGTGTTGGCCTCAGAGGCCACGTAAGCAAGGCGCAGCTGACCACGCTGCTGCAGCTCACCAGCAAGGAAGTAGCGAAGAGCAATGTGCTTCGTTCTGTGCTCCAGTCTGTGCTCCCGACACAAGGCCAGCATGGCCTTGTTGTCTACGTACAGAACTGGAGGAGAAACAGGCGCCTCTCCTAGGTCAGTCAGCAGGTAGGTGAGCCAGCGTAGCTCCTGTGCAGCCATGGCCCCCGCGTGGATCTCAGCCTCACAACTGGAGTTGAGAACAGAAGACGAGCGGGTAGACCGCCACGAAACAGAGCCGGAACCAAGGCTGAAGGTGTAACCCTGTGACGACCGCTGATGAGCCTGGTTCTCAGCCCAAAAAGCATCAGCGTGACCTGTGAGGACCACTTGATGTCGCCCTCCAAGCACTAGCCCCATGCCCAACGTACTGCACAAGTAGTGCAACACCCTCTTCACTGCAGCCATGTGCTCTGATCGGTATCTCCTAGGAGGAACATAGCGTGCCAAGATGCTAAGAGGGTATGCAAGGTCAGGTCGTGTGCAGGTCATCAGGTACATGAGGCAGCCAACAAGCTCTCGGTACGGGCCACTCGGCTCTACGGACTCATCCAAAGGCAGAGCTGAGAGCGAGTGGCGAGTAGACAGAGGAGTGGCCTGACGTGAGGAGTGCGTGAAGTTGAAGCGGTGAAGGACCTGCTGCACCATGTGTGACTGAGTCAGGGTAATGGTGCGCTGTGCTCTGTCCCGGGTGATTTGCAAGCCAAAGTAGCTGCGCAGTTCACCCAGGTACGTGCACGTGTGTCTCTTCTGCAGCTCGGACTTCACGTGGGCGAGTCCAGCAGTGTCAGCAGTGGCAAAGACCAAGTCGTCGACGTACACGAGGATGTAGAACGGCAGCAGAGAGGTGTTGGTGCGCAAAAACTGCGAAGGGTCGGCTGTAGAAGGAGCAAACCCAAAAGTCGCAAGTGTAGTCCTCAGTGTGTTGTGCCACTCACGCGGCGCGTGGCGGAGACCGTAGACTGGCCGCCGGAGGCTCCACAGGGTACCAGGAGGAAACGACCCAGTGAAGCCAGTTGGGCGGCGCAGCCAGATCTCCTCATGCAGGCTGCTCTGTAGGAAAGCTGTGTTAAAGTCAAGGGAGTGAAGCTCATAGTCCCGCTGAGTGGCTATGTGCAGCAGCACCCGAAGAGTGGTCATCTTCGGGGTGGGAGAGAAGGTCTGAAAGTAGTCAACTCCCTGTCGCTGACTGAAGCCTCGAGCCAGGTAACGCGCCTTGAAGACAAGCGGAGAACTCGGCGGCCGCTTCACTCTGAAAATCCACATGCCATTGACGATGTTCGCCCCAAGTGGGGGAACCTCGTCAATGTAGGTGCCTGTGGACTTCTAGGAAGCGATCTCTGCATCCATGGCTGACTGCCATTGAGAGGAGTAGGGACCCTCGATTGCCTCAGCGTACGATCGAGGAGTCGGGATGTCTCGTGCATCCGGGTCTCCCTCGGGGGCAATCCGCGTGGACACAAGATGGGGCAAAGGAGCAGCAAAGAACTGGAACTCCTCCTTCCTGTCCTCAAGGACGTCCGTGCTAAGAGCACACTCACCCTCGACGGACGGAGGACAGACAGACTCAGACTCAGCAATGAGACTAGCAGCGTAGTGTAGACGACAGCAAGCAGCGAAGTGAACAAGCTCACCAACCAAGGCAGACACAGCAGTGGACTCAAAGGAAGGGTCAGTGAAAACAGTGGCCAGAAGACACGTGACAGTAGGACTAACAGCACGAAGAGAGTCAGACTCAGGGTCAGCAAGAACAGGAAGAGAGGACTCAGGAGGAGACGGCAACGGGACATGCAAAGGAGCAGCGGTAGGACGCAGTGCCATCTCGTGTGTGCTGGGACTGCAGGAGGACGCGGACGCGGAACACGACGAATAGTGCAAGCAGCGCGAAGCGACGACGCAGAACGAGACGCAGGCTCACGACGCTCAGCAAGACCTCCAGTAGGACCAGTGTAGGGAGAAGGAGCAGGTGGGGGGGAGGCGGGCTGTAACTGTGACTGCGACTGGACAGGCTTTGGACACTCTAAGGGAGGAGCAAGACTAGTAGAGGGCGGGAGACCAAGAACCTGCTGAAGGAGCGGAACAAAGTACGGCCTCGGCCGCGCAGCGCCTCCAGAACCAGTAAGGACAGCACCAATACCCCCAGCAGCAGCACCAGCGCCAGCAGCGCCAACTCCAGCACCCTCATACGCACTAGCGCCAACACCCCCAGCAGCTCCAACTCCAACAGCTCTAGCAGCACCAACTCCAGCAGGACCGCCAGCTCCAGTAGTGCCAGTAGCTCCAGCAGGACCAACTCCAGCAGCCCAAGCAGCACCCCCAGTCCCAGGAGCTCCAGTACCGCTAGTACGAGCACCTTCGGGACCAGCGGCAACAGTAGTACCTCCAGCTCCAATAGCACGGCTCCAGCGCCAGGCAAACTACTCGCGCAGCTCCTGTGGAGAGAGTGGCTCCCGCCTCGATTAAGCACCGCCCGCGGATGCACGAGCAGACCCAGCGCCCCCAGGCTCCGCACCCCCAGGCTCAGCACCTCCAGGCTCAGCACCCCCAGACTCAGCACCTCCAGGCTCAGCACCCCCAGACTCAGCACTTTAGGCTCAGCACCTCCAGACCCGGCACCCGCAGGCTCAGCAGCTCTAACAGCACTAGAGTCAACAGCTACCTCGACAGGCTCGACTGTGTCTACCTGAGACACACCTGACGAGGCAGGACCCTGAGGGGGGAGGGGGTCTACCGGGGGAGGACCTGGCGCAAGGAAGAGCGGCGGTGGAGGAGGGGCGCAGTGCGGTAGGGGAAGAGACGGTAGTAAGGCACCGACTCGTCAAAGGTGACGTCCTAGGAGAACAGAACACGGCGCGAGGTGGGGTGGTAAAACTGCCAACCAGGCGCGTCAGGGGTGAAGCCAAGGAAGACGCAGGGAACAGCACGGGGGGACAGCTTGTCCGCAGACAAGTCGCGGACAAACACGCGAGATCCCTAGACCCGAAACGCAGACGCATCGCCAACCTTCCCCGTCCACCGCAAGGTGGGGGAGGTCTCTGGCAAGGAGACCCGGGGCTGAAGGTTGAGCTCATGTGCTGCGTAATGAACCGCAAATGGCCACAGAAAATGGGGGGCAGCCGCATGCATCATGGATTTACGAGCGACGTCCATGACCATGCCAATGCGGCGCTTAGCAATCCCATTTTGTTGTGGAGAGGCCGTAAACGTGAAGGTCTGGCAGATGCCTTGTGCCCGACAGAAGGCTCCCAGACGGGCAGAGAAAAACTCCCCGCCTCTGTCAGAGTGCAGACGCAGAACAGGAAAGTCCGAGCCGAAACAGTCCCTGAGCCAGAGACGAGCTGCGCGGATCTAGTCGATCAACACCTCAGTGACGTCACCCTTGCTGCGCGATGGGGGTACTGGTCCCTGCTCTTCTCCGCTGCTAGGAGGCGCTCCTCGAGGAGGTCAACGGTGAGAGTGGTTGGGCAAACTGAGAGGAAGTGATCCCTGACTAAGCGAAGAGAATCAGGGAGCCGGGTGACTATGTAGTAGAGGGTGATGTACATGGGGGGGGGGGTTTCTTGGCGCAGAACTCAGCAGGAAGCGCAGCACGGTAGCGAGTGTCACTAGTGCGGAGGTGCGTAATGAGGTCAGCGACTGTGGAAATGGCAGCAAGGTCAGGGAAGAGGTATTGTAGCATGAAACGGCTCAGTGCAGCAGTGGCAGGGGAAGAGTAGCGTGCAACTACAGCGGCGTACAAGGTCTGAGCACTCTTGTACTGGCTAAAGTGTGCACGCTCAGTGGTTGGTAAGTGGCGACGCACAGCAAGACGGGCAGCAGCATTGCGTGTGGCCCACTGTGAGGAAACAGTGTCGTCAGCAGTAGCAGGCGGGGCAGGGGAGGCACCAAAGGTGAGGTCGAACAGAGAGAGGCCGTCTGCCCTATCGCACTGGAGGAACAGCTGCAGGTCATCGACCCAGACCTCAAAGTCAACAGCACAGCCCTCAGTGTCAAAGGTAAGAACACTGGGGGTAGCCATGTCTGCAGAGGTCTAGCAAGGATTGAGCTCACCAGTACGAGTAAGTAGGGCTGGGGCGCGTCGGAAGGACTGATAGTGGCTCGACGGCAGGGCGGCTCGGCGACTCAGCGGCTCGGCTGCTGGGCGGCTTGGCTCTCGGGCGGCTCGGCGGCTCGGCTGCTGGGCGGCTCGGCAGTCGGGCGGCTCGGCGGTTTGGCTGCTGGGCGGCTCGGCGGCTCGGCTGCTAGGCGGCTTGGCTGTCCGCCGGCTCGGCGGCTAGGCGGCTTGGCTGTTGGGCGGCTCGGCGGCTCTACTGTTGGGCGGCTCGGCGGCTCGGCTGCTGGGCGGCTTGGTAGAGGCGACGTCGAGGCCGCTTAGTAGTGGTAGCGGGGCCGC